GCTCTTCGTTACAGGCGAAGCGTCAATCGTGTCTCGCTTTATCATTTCGGGTTTAATCTCGTCTCGCTCGATCTCGTCTCGCTCGGCGCGCTCGGCGATGCGCCGCAGCGGGTCGACAAATTGGCTTAAAACGGCTCTCCATCGCGATCTCGTTCTCCATTTTGCCAGTCTTTAACGCTCTGTGTTTTTTACGAATCGATGCGCGCGTCTTAGCGATCTCTTTCGCCGTCTTCTCTCGTTCACCGATATCCGTCGCAGCCATCGTGATTAATAAATCGGTCCTTCTCTCTCGCGGGAGGGAGAGCGATCGATGCGTTTGATGTATTCGCGACGACTGATCGCTCTATGGTACGGCGAAATCGTTAAACCCTCGCCTATATCTGCCGGCGCTAAGCGAGGAATTCTCCCATCCGTCGGAGTAACGACGAATGAACAGTTAAATCGCGCGGCGATACTCTCGCGCGTGCCTCACTTTAGAGGCGTGTTTATGCGCGATGCGCTTCCATCGCGGGCGCGCCGCGATGAGAGCGGCATCGTGAATTTAGACGACGCATCCGGCCCGGGTACTCATTGGGTGGCATATGCGAAAAAAGGGGGCGACGCGATCTATTACGACGGTTTCGGCAATTTTCGTCCTCCGCGAGAACTCGCGCATTATCTCGGGCGCGATGCTAATATTCGATACAATTGTCGCTCCTAGCAAACGCGCGATCAGAATATCTGTGGACAATTGAGTCTTCGATTTCTCCGGGGGGTCGATTGGAGGAATCGCGCGCTATAATATCGACCGTCGCTCGTCGATCGAGCGCAGTTCGATTACTCTCGTCAATCATGTCGCTAACTCTTACTCTTTCCGGACGATGTAGCATTCTCGCGGCGAGTTACTTTCCGCCTCTGGATTTAAACGACGATGATTACGAGTTAGGTTTAACAAATTTCGAGACTTATAACACGATACCGAATGTAAATTCCACGAATAATAAATTTTACTTTGACGACAACGACGAGGTTATCGCGATTCCAGTGGGATCTTACGAGTTAAGCACTATAAGCGCGTATCTAAGAGCTACGATCGCAAACGACGAGTTAGAGAGGAGAGACGAGAGCGCGAAAACGAGGAATTGGAAACGAGCGATGACGATTATATATAGTGTGTCGACGACGACTATTTCGAAGACGATGACAACGGTGATAAGAGTGAAAATTTTATAACGCTTCGCGGTAATGATAACACTATGAGAAGCGAGATTAAGTGCGCGTATCGAGTAAATTTCACAAAACCTGATAACATCGGTTCGCTACTGGGTTTCTCGTCTCGCGTGTTACAATCGAATAAATGGTACGCGTCTGATAAGCCGATAATTATTATGGCTATTAATCTCATTAGAGTAGAGTGTAATGTCACGACAGGAGCGTATCACAATGACAAATCCGCGCATACTATACACGAGTTCGCACCTAATGTTTCACCCGGATATAAAGTGTAGGAGATCCCAGCGCAGATCATTTACCTCCCGATCATCGCGCGGACCATTACTGATATAAATGTGCGTGTCGTGGATCAGAACGGAAGATTAATCGATTTTCGCGGCGAAGAGATCACAGTTCGTCTGCACGTGCGGCGAAGACGATAGAGAGGTGCGCGATGCTCGTAGTGAACGGATCGAATGCGAGAAACGCGCCCATCGTCGCTATCGCGTCGCCCCTAGATGCGAAAAAGAGAAAGAAAAAGGGAGGAAGATTAACCACCGCTAACGCGGCTTTCCTGCGCTCTTTGGGTTTCGTCGTACCAAGAACCGTTTCTCCGTAAAAGTGAAATGTGCGACATTCTAAGCATCGGCGGGGAGCCGATCTTCGACGATCGTATCGTCAAGATTGAAACTCACACATACAATCCTTACGCTAATACTACGTTTGAAAATAGCGACGAGATACGAATTCCTATACAACAACAAGATCTGTACACATTACCATGTGATAGTTTTCTCTACATAGAAGGTAGACTCGAGTCTAAAGAATCGCCGAGTGCGCATGAGGAAACCGCGTTGGTGACGAGGCTAGTGAACAATTGCGCGGCGTTTATGTTCGAGGAGATTCGCTACGAATATCGCGCGAAACGCAAGAGCCTAAAATCGTTTTATTAAAGATACAATGGCGAATGCCACATATAGTGTTAAACAATATTAATAAATTAAGGTTATTGCGCACATTGGATAGCGGACGATATCTGAGCGTCGCTTTTCGCTCGTGGGATCTCTACGAGTTTCCGCTTCTACAGAGCACGACTAAACATTCGTGGGCTGTCAAAGCGGCGACGAGAATCACGACGAGGTCACGAGAAGAAAAAATGGCTGATCGAGATCTTAGGAAACGTTGCCGACGATCGCGACGTTGCCGTCTCCGTCGAGACTATCGATGCTGATTACGAGGATATCAAACGTCTGGAAACTCTAAACGCTTCGCGGGCCTTTCGCTGCGGATATCACGCGAAGAATTGCGCGTTAGAGAACGCTTGTAAATTGCACGATTGGTGGTTCGAACGACGCGATCATTTGCGTAATATGTGCGATTGATTCTATATTATATTACTTTATATCTACTCGTTTGTATTATAAATTATATCGAATTATTGTATATTATGCATCATCATATATTATATAACATATCGAGTCACTTATTTAATCTATAAATTTAATTATATTTTAAGCTTTATATAATGTATCGAATCTATTATCAATTATATAACCTACAAATTTAATTATATATAATGTACCGAGTGAATTATATAATCTATAAATTTAATCATTTATTTTAAGCTTTAATAAATGTATTCGTCATACTGTCGCAAAATACACGCTATACCAACAAACCGCGTTTTTCTTTTATCGCGGTCGCGTATCCTTTCCCACGATAATAGCTCGCGCATCTCCTATTTTAG